CCCCCCCTTAGGGTCAACAACAAACTCGCAACTTCCATTACGCTCCGGATGTTTATAGGCATCGGTTACCACTTTTCATCTAGTAGCTTTAATGCCTTTTGTCGACTTGGGATATAAAGAATGTAAACTTTAAATATAGAAAACATCTTCGTATCAAAAAAAGTAATATATCTATATTAAAATTATAAATAGTAAAGAATTGGATATTTGTATGTATTGAAATAACTAGGCCGATTAAAAAAATTCTATCACCATTAATAACTTAGATTATGTTTTATTTTTTTTAATTTCACGCAGGCGATGTCCTGAGCAACAGCTAGTACTGTATAAAATGATCTTAACAATATAACAAAACTTTTCTAAATTAGCTTAGGTCAGTTTTTTTGTAGCATCTTTCGTCGTAGCAAGCTACGGTAAGTGCTACGATATGAACCTACAACTTTGCAAAAATCATAAGTCCTTTTTTTGTAAAATATAAAAAATAAAGTAATTGATAGACAGTAGTATTATTTACTATAGAGATGTTTCGATAAAAAGTGTAGTGACAACTTCAAAAAAATATAAAAATCCATTCGAAAAATGAAAACTGTGTGCGAATCTTTTAAGTGGTTTTGTATAAAATTCGTTGCGGACAACTACGATATATTTCTAGCGTGGAACTGTTGTATTTTTTTAACTTAAGCCTAAAAGTTTTGGACAGAAATTCTGCAATCAAATTTAGTCGTTGAACTCTGCACACAATGTGTTCGTGTCATTTCCGTAGTGTTATGAAAGTCATAGGCATCATAGGCCTTTCCCACAAAATTGTAAATAAAAAGTATGCCATGGAAATATCGGATTTGTTACCTTATCTGACAATGATGTCATTTTGAAGCTATCAGAGCCTCTATCAGCTGGTGGTGGGACAGGCCCTTAGTATTATTTTTATGGGACTTTAATTCGATTTGTCACTAAAGAACGTAAAAAAGTTGAGTACTCGGTGTTACAATACGTGTCTCGGGTTTTAATACGTGACCCGGGTGCCGTATAAGCTGATTTTATTATGCATTTGGCCGCGGTCGGCGTTATTTGATTAGGTGT